TCCAATCCGAACCAGCACGGGGAGGTCAGGTGGGGTGTTATACTAACATTTAGCCTAGAGTAGCCACACATTAGTGTAACAAAAACTAAGTAACATATATCACAGATAAACCTGTTCCAGAGTGGTGTAACTTTAAGCTGCCTAAAGGGTGCTTAAAAATAATTTTACGCACCCTTTAGGCAATCAAGGGGTTAAGAGCTCCAAGAGACACCTGAAACGAACATGCAACAAAGCCCTAATTTGCTTTGTGTATCCTTCCTAATGAAAGGCATGATATACATGTGAAAGCTGCTGTATCTAGAATCACAATATAGTCTATGCAAGACACAACCACATGTATTACTATGCAAGTTACTAACCCAGCATTTTTAGCTCCTTAACAGGTTTACTGCAATGGCAAACTAGCTCAAAAATATGAACACTGGTAGTTTACAAACAGAAACATTTCTTGTCTAGTACCTCAACGGCTCACAGACTGAGAGTACATAAATACTGAACTCCGGTATCCACTTTCAGCCATGGCTCCACCAGAAGGGTAATTGCGGACTTGATAACTACAGTCCTTGTACTGATGTTAATAGGGGTTGATTAGGCCTCGAGCCACAGCACTGTAGAAGAGCTCATACTTTATCTGATCTATGAACAATTTCATTTGAGAGTTATTAATCTGGCACCTGTCACATAGTTGCTGAGAAAAAAAAAGGGAAGGTGTGTTTATCCTTTGTTTGTAAAATGTATGTGGTACTGCACCCCCACTCTACTAGGTAATCCGCTGGAAAACAACCCACAACTGCTACCAGCTACCTATATTACTCCTTCAGCCCCAGTTCTTTCCTGCTGAAGTTCCCAGATTCAAACACCAATGGCAAGGATGATCACATTGAAGCTTCACAGAGTAATATGGAAGTTGCTTTTACGTATTTCCCACAAGAAACCTCCCTCAAGTTTACCCCGAGAATTTGTAAGACCCAAAGAGAACTCTGACTTGGGCAACTTCCATGAAATACTGCCTGTCAAGAAGAAACTGGCATAAAGCATTTTTGACATAATAAGAGCTCTGCCTATGTATGGATCAATGCAGGAAACTGGTATGGTCGGGAGGCAATCTCTAAAATCCATAATAGTATATCTGTGAACCAAAAACCAAAAGTCCCATCACAGAACAGAACCTTCAAAATGCAACTGTTGCTACTGCATTACTTACCTCAGGTTTTGGAGTCATTTGCTGGTTTAAAGAATACATTTGAAAAGCAAGCACCTTATCACTTTACACATTTAGGTAGTTAAGGAGCATGAACAAGGCAACACTACATCTGGAAATCATAAAAACCCACACAAGTTCAAATTATGTAACAATAATGGAGAATTCCTCAACTGGGTAAACACTCTGAGTCAAACCTTAAAGATCTCCTTTCACAGGCAATGGGCCTGCAGTCCTGATTTTTCATACCACTCCTATGCAGTCAAACTCCAGTTGACCTCAAGTGGAAGTTGGGCTCAGTAAGGACATTGTGATTTTGCCCCGTGTTTTAAACCACAGTGATAGTATAAACACACGTAGGAAGTGCTGTAGCTTTACAGATTAATGTAAATACCTCCATGTGGGGCTTAATTATCAAAGACCTATCATTTGCCCAAAGTACTGTATCCCAAGAAGTAAAAGGAAATGAGGAAAAAAACATTTTAAATAAGGTACTGAAATCTGTGCCACATCACTCAATCAGTGAAACATGCTGGGGTCGCTGTCCTTCTGTTTCACAACAAGATACATGCCATGGAATGAAATGCTGATGAGAAGTGGGGAGATGTTCTCGGCTGTCTGAAATGGGAAAATTCTGGGATGCATGGATTTTAGTGACAGGTTAAGATAAGCAGGCTGTTACCTGCAGGACAAGTTGCTGCCACGCAGTTGCCAGTGGCTGACCATTGCCAATGTTGCACATGCTCATTCGGTCTGAGGGCTGATTAGCACGTTCAAGCTGCAAGGAGACATTGCGTCGTTCTTCTTCAAGTGCGCGGGTGAGCCGCTCGAAACGAGCCTCTTGCTCTTTAACAGATGCCAAAATGCTGGCAGCAGACCTGATATCATAGTCATCCATGACTGTTTTCAAATGTTCCTGCCTGTTAACTGACCAGGGCAAATGGAAAGGGTTAGGTAAAGGGGCGATAGGGCATAGGTCAGAGGTTAAGAATAAAAATTCACATATTAATTACTCTATTATATAGCATTCATGTTAAGCGGCAAACTCCAGCTGGTCTTTGAAAAGACTTAATTTCCAACCACTGATTTGATTTTAAATGAGAAGTAACTAATCCATGACTTCCCTGTTTAAAAAACTCCACATGCTCACCTTGGATAGAATTTATTCTTAATTCCTTTGAAATTAAAAAAAAAAAAGGTAGCATTTGCCTGACAAGATTTTCATGCCTCTTGCAAAGCTAATTTCACTGTGCAAATAAAAACATACTTTTCAGAAGAATTTAGAGAGGATATTATTTTTCCTTTTTTCCCCCTGCTGGAAGAGAACATTCCTTCCACCTTTATTCATGTCTGCCTTTGACGTTACTGATGATAAAAGTTAATGTTTTCACACAGCAAAGCTTCATTCTGCTGGACAACAACCTTATTGCTTGTGGCTTTTGAAACTATTTATCCTAGTAACTTGACTAACTGGGTAAATATTTTGAAGGATCCTTTTTAAGAAAAGTAGAAAGGCCCTAAGAAGTTTAGCAAGTCAAGTTTGAAATTATTTTACATGCAATAATGATGAAGGGGAGGCAAATTATAATACAGAACATGCTGTCAAATGCAGACAGCGCAATTACAGGTAGAGCTGTTTGAACCATGATTTCAGTGCATTCTCTTAGGTTTCATTACAAGGGTATTTGTATGCATGGTAGCCAATGAGAATTTTTATACACAGCAGTCAGTCATGCAGCTGCTTGCTAGTAATATAAAAAAGACACCTTCCATGGGAAAAATACAGGGCTGCTTGTCTCCACTTGCACTGGAATAATACACAGCAAGCCAACTGAGTTTCTTCTGAGATCTGTCTGCACTGACTATGCCCTTTTTAAGTAAGGATTATGTAGCATTCCATTTTAAGCCCTATCAGCATATGTGCATGATGTGTGAAGCTCCGCTCCCCACTGGCCTTGAAAACGTATCAGGTCAATGTGAAGTCAAAATATTTTGATAAAAGAATTATGAACAATATAATGCAGAGATGCCTGGTAGTTTCAATTGAATTCCTTTACTGAAACCAAACTGGAGGAATACACTACTTAAAATACCCATTACCTGAATGCTCTGGTGACAATACTCTCTGTTTTCTCCATAATTCAAGAAAGCTTCCTATCTTTTGCGGGGCAACAGTTAATGAATGAGAAGTCTTAATGCATCATTTCAAAGGTCTTTCATTCTATTCATTTGCAATTCTGGAGCTGTACTTATCTGCTGCTATCAATCCTTTTTGCTACCCATCTACAAAAAGGCACCATCATGCACTTTTGTGGTTTTACAGATTATTCCTAATTCCTAAGGATAGCTGTTGATGGAAATAGAGCAGATATGTAATAACTAGAAGCAGAAATACTGTGGGAATTTTACTGTTATTTCCTTTTCTCAGTTGTGACACTTTGGTAGAACCAAACCTCCCCTCATTGTCTGAAGCTCTCACTGCTCTAAGCAGCTTCTCTTACAGTATATGTTGGTTCTCTCTCTTTACTTGGTCCTTCTCCAATTGTGGGTTAATCCACAAATTTCATTGCGGCTGAATTCTACAGCAGACGAACACCTGATAAAGACTGACATGAAGCTGGGTGCAGAGATGTGCTGCAGAGGGGGAAGAGAGGCACTTCTTTTATTAATTTAACGGATCAAAAGAGTCTTCAGAAATCTTAACTGTCTAGGACTTCACTTAGGTTGTTGCCTCCAGGGGGGGAAAAAACCACAGCTGGAAAACTGGCAGACACCTCATTCCTGTAAGCAGCTCTGCAGACCACCTAAAAGTGCTTCACAGACCGTATGGTAGTCCACAGAGTACAAGCAGAACAACTGCCATCTGTGATTTCAACAGAAGAAAAGGAGAGTTGCTGAATCCAAATGAAGCGTTCTGTCCAAGTGCTACTCTTGGTCCCTCAACTCAACTGTTGAAGCTGAATTTCTATAGAAAACTAACACTGCCAAGCTAGTCCTGTTTTCTGCAACAGCCTCCAACAGGAATCCCAGCAAGCCATTCTGAGACCGGGTCTCTTGCAGATTAAAGACTTTTGCAGATTCAGAGGCTGAAGATTCAGAAAAGAATAGACCCCTGTATATGATGTGAAGGGAAGGAAACCAAAATGGGGTGCAACATGCTTTAAACAAATACAAAAGGCTACTTTCCCCTCTTAGCACAGATATAACAGGGAGTGCAGGTTCTCTTTCTAAAGAGGACTGTCTGACAAGTAAGGTCTGAAAAACAGAGGGGTTACCCCTTGTTCCCATCCACTGTTGACTCTAAAGCGGCAATGGCATTAATAGCAAAGGAAAAGTTATAACTGAGCTAACGTATACCTTTCAAGACATTTTCTGAACACATGACAACAATCCCCCCACCTTCAGAAAATTCCTGAACAAGTATAGACAGCTGTTGATGGTATGCAACCAAGAGTACCCAAAAATATTAGATTCTGTAACTGGCATGAATCTCTAGAGAATTGTAGAGACCTCCAGGCAGGAAATAAAATGTGAGTCTCCTTTTGACCATAAATAACTTGTTTCTTTTCTCTGTGCAAAGAGAAACACAGGCAGAAAATAAACTGTATAAATTTTCAGATGTACAATTAGTGACCATAAAAATCCTGATTGCTATGCAGAAACAGCAGCAGGACCACTAACTGCCTTTTAAGAAAGGTTGGACAAAGACAGACTTATGCATTTCAAATGATTTATTAGCAGATAAATACTTGCTTGCTGTTGATTGCATTTCCAATTATTTACCCAGTGTTTCAACCATTTACATTACCAGCAGTCTAGACTAGGAAAAAAAAAAGAAGTACTGACTCATGAAGTTAGTTATTCAGTCTGCCACTTGTAATTTGCTATCGTTTGTAAATAAATTAAAGTGTGTTGAATACCCTAAAATAAATGAAAATATTAAAATTATAGCAGCCAGGTAAAGATTATTGCTAAGACTGCTATTCCAGGCACTTACTCTAAACATGGCAAATGCTTGCCTAAAAAGTGTCAAAGACTATGCTGACAAAGGCAGATCTATTTTGTCCTGCCTCTTCCTGTGTTATGCTGGAACTGGGACATAGACCTGCAGTAAGAGGATTTGTCTTTTTTTTGACTGCTGATATTTAGAACCAAAGTATCAGCATAAGTAAAGTGAGTTATATGCTCACTAAGAATAAACATCATGTCTATGCAAAGAGGCCAGCAAAAAAGCCAAGGGACTACTTATATTCAGCTCATGTATTGGATATTACTGTAAGGTAAATGCATACGACTTTTGTTGCTGTGAATACAAAGACTCAAAGTGCCAGGGCTAAGAACTAATGCTCATTCAGGATTTGTGCAGCGGGATTCTAGATAGTAGAGTAAAACATACAAGGGGCTTGGTAATGTGAAAGAAGTCCTAATTCCCACCTGACCTCTGAATCTCAAGCACTGGTAGAGTAAAAGTATTACCTGGGGTCTTCTAGGGGCCCAAGGGTGCACGGTACCAAACTCCAACTAAAATTTGATGGGATTTAGGTATGCGAATTCTTCATTTAGTCACGTGTTCGAAACTGCAGACTGAATGTTCCAGTGAAGGCAGATTTAGGATTTTTTAATTACTTATCTGGCCAGTGAGCAGTAGGAGCTACTCGAGTAGGCTACATTTAGTTAACAGAGTAAGGACCAGCACAAGGGCTGTTGCTTTTCTGAGGAAAAGGTGCTTCTTGTAGCACGTGACACACTGCTGGTGAACCCAGCACACATTGCTCACCTCACTCAAGCACCCATATAAAAGTACTATGCACACCAGCCCCTCTGCAGTCTTGACCCAACCTGTTTTCATGCTAGATTGTGCCCTATAAACAGGAGATAACCATGTGGGTAGTAACAAGAATCCTTCTGCATTTGTGCAAACAACAGAAGGAAGACAAGGCAGACCATAAAAGTGCATGTATGTGCATGGGTGTACGTACAGCAGCCATGTGCTTCTGAAAGGGAGAAAGCACCAAAAGAAACATAATAAAAAACAGGAGTTTAAAAGTCTATTAGTTCACAGTCCACGGAGCTGGACCACCGCACATAGTAATTACATTTTCATTAGAAGATGCCACATATACAAGAATGAATGCTATTTCCCATGCAATATTAGCATGCAGAGAAAAGCGAGCAATACACACCAAGTAGATTATTAGGGCCTGAATGTTAAAGATGCTGTGACATCACCCTCTAAGACTAGACAACTGTAGAGTGTGGGGCAGCAACCTCAAGCAGAACCAGCTACAACAGAGAGGAAGGAGAAACAAAGTTAGTTATTGTGGCATAAGTGCTTCAAGAACCTCTTTCTAAACATGGTCATTTCCTATATTCCCTGTTCCATACTGTATCACTGTTAAAGTTTAAAAAAATGCCTATTTTCTGCAAACCCCCCAAAATAGCAACCACATTCAGAGAATCAAAACCTGAGGGCATTAAAGCAGCTTCAGCTTGGTCAACATGTGGACTTGCTTGTTTTTGGAGAGGTTTGCTGCGAGTGGTCTATGTGGACTGAAAACTGCGAATCACGAGGAAGACTCAGAAAGGTACAAAACTGAACATTATGGTCAAAATGTTTACAATCTGGATGCCTCATGTTAGGCACTCAAATTCATATGGGTCTTTAAGAAGAGGCTGGATGCCTACCTGGCTGGATTCATTTGAGTCCCGTTTTTGTTTTGGGGTTTTGTTGTTCTCCCGCCCTGGCGGGGGGTCGGGCTAGAAGATCTACTAGGTCCCTTCCGACCCTAAATCTATGAAACTATGAATCTATGAA